ATAATTTAGAAAACCCTTACAAACACAGGACATACCAAATAAGCAAAACAGACAAATGACACAAAAGATCCAGCTTTCAAGCAGTTGTCCGTATCCTTGCGCTGGAGCTCTCCCAGTGGGAAAATCGAATCCTCGAAAGGCATTTTGACACCTTTCAACAATTGGCGACCACGAAGGTTTCCCAGCCAACCCTGCCACCGGACCGGGCCCACGGATCCAAACCCAGCCGGCATGGACCTTCTTTGTCCAGGGACAACATCCACAGACCCAGCCCGGAAGGTATAGGGTAGTAAAGGGAGTCCTTGGGCTTTTCCGCTCAACAGCTGCTTGAAAGCAGGTGAGTACCACTTCAAATTTATAATCTTACTAGTGAGGGGAGTCGAAGCGTGAGTGGACCAGGTGTGTGACTGTGGGTTTTCTCTGCAGAAACAGCAGGACCTCACCTCCTCCATGATTGCCAGCCGCACCCCAGCCAGCTGCTAGCTCAAACACGAGCCGTGACCGGCTGGATTTGGGAACGCAAGGGGTGATCACAGAGGGGGAGTGATCCTCATTCCCTTTGCTTAGATGGGGGGATAGGGTTCTCTCTTCTTATCTTACAGCCCTGCAAAAGAGACTACAGACCCTCTGGACCCAGAGTGCACTGACACAGACCTTACCCCTGAAAGAAGCCCTGCATCCATATGAGCCAGGAGATTGGATGTGGATCAAGTTCTTCACCAGAACCTCACCTTTACAACCCAGGTGGAAAGGACCCTACCAAGTCTTACTAACTACACACGTCGCCATAAAGGTTGCAGAACGAGACTCTAGGATATATTGGACACATGCAAAGCCAGCAGTCATAGACCATAGCCAAACTCCACCACAATCAATCCCACCCATCAAACTCAAGAAAAATCTGGACACAGATCAATGGACACTTGCAGCATTCTTCAACACCATTGAACCACACAACTGTGAGGAACCAAGTGCAAACGCTGAATTACACAAAACTGGACTCCCAGGTGCTGCGTTATAAAACTCTATTTTTATTTTTATTTTTCTCTCATCTTCTCCATTTTTTTCTTTTTCCCTTTTTTCTTCGTATTTTTTTTAACAAGGAAGAGACTTGAGCCATACCTTTTAGTAATTTTTGAGACTTGACCTATACCTTTTTTTTTTTTTACATTTTATTGTTACCTTTTTTTTTTACATTGTACAAAAAAGGGGGGGTGGGGAGGGAAGAAAAGGAATCTAGCAATGGGAAACATTAAATGCAATATATACTATGTATTATTATCTGTAATAATTGTAACACTTGTGACACAAGCAACTGCGTTCCTGGAACCAAAGCTTATCCCAGAGAAAGGAAACGTATGGGAATATTTAGCAAGGGAAATACTCAACACCACTAACTTTTGCTTATCAGGAAGGAAATCAGTCAAGGACATCGTAACCACATGCCTAATGGGGGTGGCAACTAGACCACATAACATCATTAACTACACCACATTTAGAAACCTTCCTGACTCCTTCGAAAGCATTTTTAGCTGGGGCCACTCTACAAAAAAACAAAGACCACACCATGTACACCCTACACATTGCTGCAGTAACCACCTCTGAGAGATGCTTTAATGTCACTGGGTGCAGCACACCTAGGGTCACAGAATGCACCAGCCTCAGCAACACAGAACTAAAATGCAACTACACAGAGACCGTATCATTCTCATACAGTTACCATGGCTGCCTGTCTCTCCTTTGATTTTCTCTTCTGAGAGGGGTACAGGCCTTTAGGCAACTAAGGCAGGGTGGAATGCATCGACAGAGGCAACACATGAGGGCTCCAGAGACACAAACAGTGACTATGGTTGTTATAAGGATTTTGAGCCAATGGAGATCTGGTATCCACGAGAAGAGCCATGAAAAGTCTAGGAATGATTGCTCATGACCAATATTTTGAGCTAGCTCTTTCAGGTGGTGAATGCCCCTCTCTACGAGTCCTGAGGTTTCGTCTAGGTTGAAGCAACACATCCCATGGAATGTTTCATAGCCATAATTATGCTTCAAGAGGAGGAAGTCTATTGCTGCCCTATTCTCCAGGGTGGCTTCTCTGACCTCCCTCAGTTCTCTGTTAAGGGCATCCAGGGCATGGGAGGTCGAATTCAAGCCTTTTGCTAGGGTACATGCTAGGCTATTCAAATTTCTAGAATTTCGCACTGCCAATCCAGGTACCCCCACTAGGGATATTGCCAATGAGACATATTCTGCTTTGGTGAGAAGGGAGATTTTGGAGTCACAGTCTGAGTCTAGGGTTTGGAAGGCTCTCCTGTGCCGTCTCTGTAAGGATGGCATAAGCATGGTTAATCTTCACAAGGTGCAAGGTCCATTGGTGACATTTGCAGGAAGGTATGAATAGGCTTTTAAGCCACAAAGGAAAAAACCACCCTGGTGGGAGCTTCAGGTAACTATATGAGAATGATATGGTCTCTGTGTAGTTGCATTTTAGTTCTGTGTTGCTGAAGCTGGTGCATTCTGTGACCCTAGGTGTGCTGCACCCAGTGACATTAAAGCATCTCTCAGAGGTGGTTACTGCAGCTTTAGGCTTTTGTCTATAGGGATTCTTTAATACTTTTTATTTGATTCCTTTTCCTATGTAAGTTTGTTTGCTGGCTGAACTGATGTTCCCCTTGGGCTTTTCCTGTTTTTTTGTGACACTACTGCCTTCGTGAAATTCCCTTTCCACAATCCTTCATTTTTTTTCTCTCTCTAGAATCAAAGAGGGCGGTCTCTGATTGAGTGTCTGGGTATGCTTGTCAGAAGGCTACAAAAGGTGATCACACGACCCCAGGACACAGCATAAATATGAACCACTTGCCAAGCATCTGAATTTTGATCATGTGACCATGGGGATCCTGCAATGGTCATGTCAAAAGCAGTCATAACTCACTTTTTTCAGTGGCGTAACTTTGAATGGTCACTAAATGAACTATTGCAAGTCAAGGACTACTTTTATTAAACTTAACTGATGGAAGAGTTGACCTCTGAAATATCAGTCAAAACCAGAACTAGAATTCCACATAAAATGATATTTCAAAGCATAAGGAAATTCTATTCTGAACATATATTTTGATCTATATAAATTCTTGCATTTTTCACATGCCATCAATTTTATCCCTAACTATAGGGTCAGCATCTCAATCATTTTCCACGTCCACATACGCACTTCAAGCAAGGAAATGAAAGATTAGGAATATCCAAATAAATCCAGACAACACTAAGCAGATAGTAGAAGTAGTATTTTATTTATGTAATATTTGTAATTTTATCTATTTTATCTACATGTATTTTATGATTCAGGTTACGCACTCATAAATATATTAAGTATATACTAAATCGGAGAGATGTGAAAGAACTGATGTTAAGGCCCCTTCAGCTCCAAAATGGAACACTCAATTGCCTCAATAAGAGTAAATATATATGCATAATTTAATAAATAAAATCTAGAAATACGTTACTGAATCAAATCCAAGAAAATGCTTAACAATTAAAATATTGGAGAAGTGACTGTCATTCATCTGAAAAAAAAAAACAACCCAAACTGTCAGACTAATAGACGTTCTTGGCTTTAGAACAGTGTTTTAGAACATTAGCAACTTTAAAATGTGTGGACTAATTCCATAGCGAGCCATGCCATATTTTAAAGTTGCCAAGGTTGGGAAATACTGCTTTAAAATAATAGAATATGTTAAAAAGAAATGTTCATATCTCACAAGAAGAAAATGCTTTTAAGGATTGCAATCCTTGCTTCGTTTCTTAAATTCTTTTTATTCCTTAATAGATAAATCACAGGAAAGTCTCTTTTTGATTTAGCTGCCCCAGCAAAACAAAGACCAACTTTGGCATTGCACATCTATTTGGAAGATTCAAGTCCAAGTCCCAAGACAAAGCTTTCTCTCTCTGTGCTTTATCTTTCTTTTGAGGAATCTTAGCTGAAAAGCACAGGAGTTTCAGTTTCAATTCTAAGCTTTCTATGTGATTAAATTTATTAGTCATATTTAAGAACAGTGAAATGTTTTTCAATGAAACGCTTACAGACAATATAAAAAGCTAAATCTAACATTCAGCGGTAAAATTTTATCACTGAAAGTCCTAGAAAATAAAGAAACAACAAGGAAATTATATTAACTTTATTAAATATCAGGTTAGATAAAAAAACTGAACATGATTCCAGATATGTATTAATATCAAAATGCTTATAAAGTAATACTGAGTGCTTGTTAATCATTTCTTGTAAAAATAGAAGACAGAAGACATACTCTAAAAATAATTTTGAAAATAGAATGCAGTGCAAAATATAAGTACTATTTCATGAACTCCTTGTGCATCTAAATCAGTTTTAAAACAAACTTCAGGTAGTACTCATTTATACAATAGGGTGAGCCCAGATTTCAAGGGTTAAACAGTGTGGCTCGAGCCTACCCCCTGGTTACATAGAAAACTTTCCCAAAATAAAATAATAAGCTGCTATGCATCTATGGAGATGAAACATAAATCAGCTTCTGCATGTGAGAATGGGATTCTTTGGCTTGTGCCCTACAGTTATCAGCCCTTTATTTAACACTCTGACAAATTTCTTTTCTTTTGCTGTATTCAACCTAAGAGAAAAAGAGACATTTCTGCACACTTTCTACCCTGAAACACAGGAATAAGTAGGAGCATGAAATGAACCATATTTTTTGGAGTATAAGACACACTTTTTCCACCCCCAAAAGTGGTTGGAAATGTCTCTGTGTCTTAGACAATAAATGTTGCCGAAGCCCCACCCACCCGCTGCCTCCACCATTTGACCTCTGCCTCCCAGCAATTTGCCTCCTTGCAACAAATGGCCTGTTTCAGTTTCAGTTTCAGCACAGCCTGATTAGAACAGGCAGCTGATTGTCAGTAGAATCTGCCTCCTGATAGAGTGCAGGGATTACCATAGCCTATTGCCACCTTTCGTGCCCCATTTTCAGCCTGTTCCAAATTCCACTTCCTGAAGCAGGCAGAAAATGGGGCACATGGAGGCCAAAAGTGTGGCATGTGGCTAAAAACCGGATGCAGAGGCCAAAAATGGGGCACGTAGAGGTGGCAATAGGCTATGGAAATCCCTGCAGATCCTACTGGCAATCAGCTGCTTGTGCTAATCAGGCTGCGTTGAAACTGAAACAGGCTGTTGTTTGCTGCAAGGAGGCAAATTGCTGGGAGGCAGAGGCAGATTTTTTTTCTTGTTTTCCTCCCCAAAGCTATGTGTGTCTCATACTTTAGAGCGTCTTATACTCTGAAAAATATGGTATGTCCTTGAAATGTTATAGACAATACAGATGATGCAATTCTAATTCGATTTAACAAAATGCAAGACTAATCATAATAAATTTATGACTACTCTTTCCATTCCCCAGCTACCAAGACCAACAAAAATTAGTACAGTAGAACATGGTCCATGCCATGGATCGTACATAAGCATAATTTAGACGCTTATTCAAACCATTGTAAGTGCATACATGAAAAACACAATCAGATGCAAGGTAAGAAAGTTTCATTTATCTACCAGCAATGTCTTCAATTTCTTGAAAATCAAAGTAAGATAGTCCCCCTTTCTACCTCTTTCACGCATGTTTTTAGAAAAATATCGGTATTTTTTTCCTCACTCTGTTCCATAGTGAATTGTACCAACTCACTAAATGCTGAAATTGGCAAGTTTTAAATACATGTAAGTGACATGAATGTCTATTTGGAATTATATATTAGTATTATTAGCAGCAATATTAGTATTGCTGCTTAATTCTATTCTTTCATTTTTTAATATAACTAGTAAAGTTCCACAATATTTTTACATATGTGGAATGTTAGATACAATCATACAATGCTTAACTGAACAATGCACCATGCCAAAGATTTCAGTTTAATTCAGAAAGTACATCTTGATTTTTAATGATAATGTATTAGTAATTATATTAATTTGCAAGCTGTTTTATTAAAAAATCCCAAAATTTTGACAGAAAAGTTGTTAAATATTTCATTCTTTTTAGTATAATCAAATGTAACACTTAGTACATATATAATAATATAATAAGAAGAATAAAGAATTTCATCTTCATGGCTGTCCCATTATTTGAAAAAATAGTTTGCATTAAATGATTTTCCATCTTTTTGGTGATAATGTCATGCAACACAACAGTTATCATAAATAATTGGGAATATAATATTGAACAGATATCTTAAAAAAAACCAAAGCTTTACTATGTTAATTACTGCACCTTTTCTATACAGGAAGGTTTTTCTTTAAAATGATGCAATGTAAGAAAAACGGTGCTTTTTATTGTCTTTACAATCCAGGGTGATTTAATGCTTGTTGAGACCACAGAAATCGGTCACATCTTTCTAGCATGGACTGGATCAGCGCTCTGCCAACAGAAGTAAAGAATAAAGAAAAAAAATGGTAAAAAAATAAGTTATTTCATCAAGTTAATTGACCCAGAAATATAACATACTTGTCATAACCACAGCTATAACTTTTTATGAGCTCATAAGACCTATTATCATCTTTTATAAAATAAATAAAAATCCAAATTCGCTTTTTAAAAACTCTCAAAGAAAGTGCACAAAACAAAACTACTTTAATTTTCTTCAAGAGAGATGTATTTATTTAATCTAGTTTTAAGAAACTATAGCCAGGAAAGGGAAGTTTCCATATTTTGTTTAATATCAAAGGAAGAAACTCAGTATTACATCAAATACAGTAGAGTATCTTGGAAGTCTTTACAAAGTATGGGCACTGGATTTGAGAATTTTTATAGTGAGTCATCAGACGCGGTCTATAATAGTAATAGTTAAATATAACATAACCTTTAAAAATGATATATCAGTCAAAATCTTTCAAGACTGATGGAGGAGCTGCTACCTATTACACCTCTGGTGACACTACCCGTTTAAATATTAACTTTGGTCAAATATTTTTCAGAAAATTTGGGCGGGGGGGGGGATTACACAAAATTTCCCAAAACATAAATCATAAATTTATAAACTGTTTAGAGTTGTTGAGGGTTGAGTTATCTTGATTGGCAAATTTATTTTACTGAAGTCCTGGAAAACTTTCTTTTGATCAATGCTCTTAAAGTGTAGGAAAAATTCTAATGGAAAAAAAATTGCCACAGCAGAAAAAAAGCACAAAAGTAAAGAGAGTTGAATTATTTAATTATGTATTGTTTATTCAAATTTGTTCTCCATTTTAAATTGTTCAGTCTAATGCACTATTTTTGCATTTTGGGATAGAAATGTTGAATATGAAAATGTAATAGTTGTATATTTTTTAAAAAAGAAAAATGTTCATGCAACCAAGTTTTGCTTTTGTATTTTATTATTATTTCATGTTGATATTCTATTTGTCAGGAAAAAATCATAGTATCAAAACCACTGAAATCATAGTATTTAAGAAAATTGATTGTGAAGCACTGTAACTCTGTTCACATTTCTAAATCGTAATATAGCATTCTGGATACAGTCTGTAAGAAACAATTCTCATAACACTTACCTTTGCCGTTTTTCAGCAATTCTTAGTATCTCACAAATCTTGGCAAATCTTTCTGATAATTCAGCTACCAAATCACATTCCTGTAACATCTGCAAAGAGTGATCTGGACCAATTATTCTGGCTGCAAGGAGTGCAACATTTTCAACAGTAACAGAATTTGACCACTCAGGAGTACCATTAGTAACAGCTATATCCCTTTGTGAAACATGGATGTTATGATGACTCTTCACGAGGCAAAGAAGGAACTTCCATTCTTCTATTGTCTTTGGAACGGTTCCTAAATACAGATTTGATTTATGGAAAAAGTTATTTACAGCAAATCACTTTGATTTTACTTGATATGCAGCTAATACCTTAGTACAGCAATACATTTCTCTCGCTACATCTGATCTAGATAGTCAATGGATTTATAAAGTCCAACACACATCAGTGGAAGATACAAAGCTATACTAGCAACATGTTATCCTATACATCTTATCCAATGTAAGATGGAATATGTTCAATTTCATTTTGCATTTATTCAAATGAATAAATTCAAACCATAGTGATTGCTTTTACTTGTTGAAAATTGGAAAAGGAGATTAAAATGAATTTGTTCACAATTTCCAAGTAACATGGAAGTTATGCAAGTAGTCTTTGACTTATGATCACAATTAAGCCCAACATTTCTGTTGTTAAATGAGTTTTGTCTGCATTCTACAAAACCTCTTGCCACAGTTGTTAAGTGAACCACTGTAGTTAGTAACATAATTGTTACAACCTTCTCAGAACTACCTGTATCCATAAGGGAAGACAAAAAGTCCGATTAAGAGAATAATATTTTGATATCTCTAGTGGCTATTGGTTGCTGCAGAATCCTTTCCACTAACAAAGAAGGAATTCCACAGTGAGAAGTCTGGAGATGTTTGGGCTTTTCTCAGTAATTTCAGGTCATATTAGATTGTCATGAATACATTAAATGCTACGTTCTTATATTTCCTCAACTTACATCATAAACAGAATGGAATGAATGTTGACTAAGTAAAAGGAGAAGACTGAATGGCAGAAAGGGACATCATCACCAATTACCACTATTCAACTTCTGGAGCCAGCAGATGATCTGATTTGATTTCTATAGCTGCCCATTTCAACAAGTGCCTTTGGGCAAGTTTTTAGGAAATCATAATACTTTGACTCTACTCTAATTATATGGATATAACAAATCTAAAACAAAATTAAATATAATAGGTTTTCAAAACCCACTAACTACTTTTTAATTACTTTATAGCTGAACTATATTTTTTTTAAATCACAAGTGCAAAATTTATGTTCTAATGTCTCCTTATATAGAATTCCAAAACAAAGTTTTTTGTTACATGAAATTGTTTTATTTCAAAGTTAATTAAAGTGCATGCCTCAGATACTTAATATTCATAATTGATTCTTAAACTAACCGTCTTTAGTGTTCAACAACTCCATGTCATCCAAATGAACAATTTTTATAAATACTTCTGATCTTCTGTCCAACTCCAAACAGAGAGAAAGATATCCAGGCCAGAAGCTATAACAATAAAATGAAATATTAAACTTCTAAATTGACATTCTCAACTTAAATAACTAGTTGAAATAATTTATTTCTAATTTATTGAATTTATCTAATTTATGGAAATCATCGAGAACATTTACATAAGGATAAAAAGATGGGTGGGACAACAATATCATCATGGGAGTTTATTACAAATTGGACAGGCAGAAGATATGGATGAAGACTGTGCCAGATGATCAAGCTTTCAAATATGCAGTATTCCATTGCAGTATTCCATTTTTACTGACATCTGGAAATCTATTCTGCCACAAAGCAGAGGTCGCAACATTTTTCAGAAGATAGAAAAAGGAATAAATGTCTGTTATCTTGAATGAAATCCTTACCAACAGACGAATTGGTTGAATAAATAAAGATGATGATTATGACCATGTTCATAATATCAAGGGGAGAAATAGAAGAGAGTCAGATTTGCATATTGGATTTCAGAAGACTGTAGTTTGATGAAATTAGAAGGTAGGTAAAATCTAGTCATTTGAAATCTTGAAGGGGAAGTGTCCATAAAGGATGTGTTACTAAAAGTGTAAATGCAAACAATTCCCACTAGAAAGGAAATCGGGAAAAATCTAAAGAAACAACTATGGATACAATAATAGGCTTCTAAAACATTGTAAAGAAAAAGAGACACCTCTAGGAAATGGAAGGAGGGGCATATAAGTAAAGGATAGAAACCATGGAAATTTGGTCAAAAAGACTAAATAAGAAATTGGGATGAGCCTGGGGAGAAATGGGTGCTAGCTTTTGATCTCCAAGATGGCAACTCGGGAGGCTGAGCATTGCACAAGTGCTGACTGAATCCTTTGTAAATAGGCATCATTTTAAATATTGATGATGCCGATGATCATATGTTAAGGAATGTTTTAGATCAGATGTATTTTGTAATTTCCTGAAGAGTACTATTTGAGTTTTATCCATGTTGCTGCAAATAATTTGACTGTATTTAAACTTGCAGCCCTGGAAAATTTCCTTCTTTTTTTTTTTTTTGCTGTATTGTTCATAACTCATGGCCTTCCTGAGGCAAGCTGAATGTTATAGTACAGGTGGGGTCAGGGACAGTTCCTTTAAAGAAAAAACAAAGAAGGAAATCCAAAAGAGTGAAAATCCCCCTTTTTATGTAAGGAATAAACTGACTAGCTAACAGGAAATGACTTAAAGCATGTACACTTTATAAGTAAACTATAACTATCTTTATAAAAAGGACAGGCCGAACTAGATGCTCTCTTCCAAAAACATATTCCTATTAATTATACATTTTTGAGTGATTAAGTAAAGAAAAAATATCTCAAAGTTCATTATAAGTTTAAGAAATTGGGGTATTTGGTGTAGTCCAAATATTAAACCCAACTGAAAGAAAACAAAGGAGCTAAGAGCCATTCATGTTTACATTTTTCAGGGTTGTATTTTTTACAGGTAAATTTAATTCAATTAGTCAAACTAAAGTAGCAAATTATCATATATAATTCAATAATATTCCCTTCCTTATTCTTCTATTCAGATGCATCCTGAGAAAAAGTATGTGGTCATTAAAAGTTGACACATGGTTGCACAAAATCTACTCAGCAACCATAATAAAGATTTCCATATATCACCACCCACAAATGAAATTCTAGCAATGGCAATTATGGGCTGAACTAATAAACTGATTTTTAAAAATCTACCAAGAAGGATGGAGGAGAGAGGAAGAAAGACAGGTTTGTTTTAAGTGATTTAATAAATTGTGATAGGTAAAGCAGACAGATAATGTATTGGAACGTTATTAAGAATACAGAATACATAGAAGCAAATCAGAATACAAATATATAGGGAGTATGGTTGTGCTCAATAATAATGCATATCATACACTGAAGCTGAAGGGAAAAATTAGGAAAAAGGACAAAACAAAAATACATATGTTATATGATTAAAATGAAGTTTTTTCAAGAATGCTTTAAGAAACGATTACCCATTGCTTTGACATATATCAGTCATTTTCTCCTTCCGGACAACATCAGTTGGAAGATTAAGCAAAAGTACAATCAGTTGATTATACCCCCAAGTAAACAAATGTGAATGTGGCCTGAAAACAACAATTGAAAATTACGTTAGGTTTTTTTTTTAATAAAGAAGGCTCAATAAATAATTCTAATCACAATCTACAATGACAATATATGTGTGTTTATAGTTTTAATAATCAGAAGACAGGGTGGATTACAGTGGAATAGGGACATGTTGGTTGTTTTTGAAATGCCAAGAGGAAGCTCTACCACATTTTCCTGGCTCCTGCTATCTACATCACCAGGAGGTATAAATACTATTAATATATAATATCAATACATAATTGTGAATTTCATTGTATGTATACTGTGTATATACGTGCAATGACAACAAAGAATTCAATTCAATATTAATAGAGGAAATATTTTATACTACCATTAATCAGATAAACTACTACGAATGGGAACAGAAAGAAGGAGCATGCTTAAGGAGAAAATAAAAAGATATTTACTGATAAACCTTGGAAAGCAAGCCTTGCTTTTAACAGCTTCTCATTACACATGATCTAGGACAAATTATAGGCAGGAAATATTCTGTTGGAACTTTACTTTTAATTATAACTTTTAGGGAAAGTTATAATTTAGAGAAAATTATAACTTTTAGGGAACTAGTTTCAAACATCTTTTTCTGTTTGAAGATAAAAGTGGTTTCTGATTCAGGCCATCTAGGATGTGCAGTTACTTGGACTAGCACTATAGAAAATATTTGGAATAAAATAGGGGAGCTTTTACTTCAAATAGTGGCATAGTTTAAATGCATATTTAAAAGCAATGGTTTATCGTACATTTATGATATTCATTTATCATTGAGGAGGAATTAAAAATGAGCAAAATATAACTTGTACCTATTTTGTTTCCTAACACTAGGATTTGATTATCTAAATTGGGCCTTAGGAAAAACGTGTAGATGAAATCGAGGAAAAAAGACTTTTGGAGATATATAGTTAATCAGAAAAGCTAATAAATTACAACCGTGGATTTCCATGAGCATCTATTGTGCTTGTTTTATGCGGGGCATCATGCGACATTGCCAAACACAGCCACTCCAATTGTAATGAATCAGGATGGAGAAGAGATCTAAGGAATGACAAACTAGAAAAAAAATATATAATTAGCCTGCTTTATATTGTCTAATTAAGCCAAACATTTTTTTAATCTGGACTCAATATAATGTATTTATATATTTAAATAGCAAAAAGAAGCAAATGTTACCACACTAAGTTTACTTAGTTTTAAGAATTCTAGAATTTATAAAAACAAAGAAAATGCATTGTATACCAGTAGTATTAGTTTAGCATATCTTTTTGAGCTGACAAAATAGCTAGATCATAAAACTAATGAATAATTTTTTTCCTATCAATTACTAATACCAACTTCATTTGACTTTCTTTCCTCAAATGTCACTAAGATGGGATTAATATTTTTATCATGTCCTTGTATCCCATCCCTTGCATCCCTTCTCCAAATTAAGGAAACATAATACATACCGTTCATCCTCAGCCTTTGATTTTATAAGGCTGTCTAAATATGCTAGAAAATGTTCAGGATTATTTTTACAAATTTGCTTGATATCTGAAGGTCCAATCAAAGGGTAGAACCGGGTCAAAGGCCTTAAAGAAGTTTCTCTGAATTTTTTATAAAGCCTACATTAAATAAGACACAGAAAATAAAATTTATTTAAAATACAATTCTTCTTAGAAGAAATAGCTTCAATAAATTTCTTGCACTACTTATGGAAAAAATGATGAAAATAAAGTTTGCTTAAATTTAATTTACAAAAATAAGGAATATTACAAGATTTCTTCAAAAACTACACATGGCTCTTGAAAAGAATATGATTTTTTTCTGTGTAAATACCTAAGAATTACCATAAACTATATGCATTCAAACAACTCTAATGCTTTATACCTTTCAGCATGTGCCAGCAAGACAGGAGCATCCCAAGGCCCTAAATCAACTAGCAACTTCAGTGTTTTAAACATATCTCCATTTTCAAGGGCCACTGTCACAGGGCTAGTCAAAGTCAGTTCTGAAATCAATAATTGTATGTTACTTAACAGCAACATTAGGCAAGACATTTTCATAGTACCAATCTTAAAGCAACTTTGCTGAAAAGGTAAGACTTTTTGTATTTTCAAAGTACATATGTTTCATTGCAAATCCAAATTATTGTAGCTACGATAACTAAATTACAGTCAGCTACATTCTAGGACTTCTTGAGTCCTAGTATTATTAATCGAAATGTACTGGCAACAGACAATATTATTTAAGATGATTCCCATTCATAATGGAATTTTATTCATTCCCCTCCACATCTATAAAATCTATTTTAAATTATTCCTAACCACAGTATAAAGGAACATGGGGGAACAAAGGAAAATTAATGTATTAAAAGTAGAGGTAGTCCTTGACTTACAACCACAAATGATTCCAAACTTTCTGTTGCTAAATGAGACAGTTGTTAAATGGATTTTGCCCCATTTTATGTCTTTTCTTGCCACAGATGTTAAGGGAATCATCTAAATTAGTAGCCTGGTTGTTAAATGAATTTGCCTTCCTCATTGATTTTGCTTGTCAAAAGGTCACAAAAAGTCATCACATGACCCTTGGATGCTTCAGCCATCATAAATATGAAACATTTGCCAAGCAGCTGAACTTTGACCATGTGACCATGGGGATGCTGCAATCATCATAAATGTGAAAAATGGGCATAATTCACTCTTTTCAGTACCATTATAACTTTGAATGGTAATTGAACAAATGGTTGTAAGTCAAGGACTATGTACAGCATCTTCTTTGGGCTAAAGACTGTACTTGGCTCTTGAATGGTATTGCTAGATTCAAAACAAATATGTAGGATCAGAATTAAAACTGAATTGAAATTACTTAAATAATATTTAAATAAACTAAATATAAAAAACCTAATATGATTATATTTAACCCCTTTTAATGAGTTTCGTAGGGAAAAAAAGACATGAAAAAGTTTAGATGTGGGTTTCCTACACTCACAATCATAGTGTGCATTTATATGCACTGGATAATAATAGGTTTCTCCAAATAATTCTGAATGTTATAATTCAAATCAGAAGAAATTCCAAGGCTAGTGTGGGAAACCGCCAGTCCACAGATCTAATTCGAAAGATTTTCTCAGAGGTGATATTCAGCAGGTTCTGACTAGTTCTGGAGAACCGGTAGCGGAAATTTTGAATAGTTCGGAGAACTGGCAAATACCACCCGACTGAAGATTTTACAGGATCCTTTCCCTGTCACACTCACAGAACCGGTAGTAAAAAAAAAAAATTAATCCCACCACTACATTTTCTACATATTTAACTGCGAGACAACTCTACCAAATGGACAGACACCAACACACAAGACCCTGAAAATCTCTTGCCTTTCAGACCTTCCATATAGACATCCCAGACTTCAGAATGATTGTTATGACAGGTAATAATACATCTCTTCAACCTTTCTAAATCAAGGAGGAAAAAATAGTCTCTAATGAATTTAGAAGCCAGGGCACATGAACCATCGGGTAGCACACCTGGCTCATTATTTACTTGTGAACTTTCATATACATTTAATTCAAAACATAAAGTTGTCAGCTCTGTCAGATCTTTTTTAATGTTCTGTGCTATTAAAAATGGGGGATTAATCTGGTAATGCTGGTTGAAAATGGTCTCCGTCCTCAAAGACTGTTCATGTAGTACATTATCAGCATAATAATTTATAACTGAATTAGTATTTTCTTCCCAAGTTTCCTCCTGTATTGTATTTGGATTTTCACTTTCACCATTTATTCCCAATACTGTATTCACTTCTATATTTTTGGGCTCATTGTGTTTTAGCACATTTTCTTGAAAAGTTTTGTCTTCAGCTTGAAAAGGCATTTCTTTGTTTCCCTCAGTTATCTCATTATTTAAAATAACAGTTGCTTTTAATCCACAGGTTTCTTCAAGAAATGGAATCCAATCCAGCAAAATTGCCTTCAAACTTTGTGGTTGTAACAAAACAAGTGGATCCTGGAGTTTGGACCTTTAAAAAAAAAAGAAAGAATATTCAACTTGTAGTTTAGTGAATACAGAAATTGTTGGCAAAGAATTCTGTTGAGCTAATACTGCAATTCTATTTCAGACTCTTCCAATGGACTATAACATTCATACAACATTTTATTTTGTTGATCATAATTTATAATTATTCAAATAAATACAATTATGAAGCCTGCCACGTTTTTTTCATTGACATTTTACTTATATTTTAATGATTGCAATTGCAACGATTGTTTCAGCAAAATCTGTCTACTACATGTAAAATTTCAACGGATGAATTCTTAAAGCCTCTGTAAGATATAGAAACTTATTTTTCCTTCTTCCTACAGCATTGAACTATCTGTACAACTTCCATATTCTAGTCTAGCAAAATTATGAACTTCTATACTTCCTGAAACTTCCAGAAGAAATTTAACTGAAAATAATCTTAATATTCAAGCTGAATATTGAAGTTGGATTACATCAAAATTCCCTACTTCTGTACAGAAGGAAAAAATGCTTTTTGTCAATTCCACTTTCTTCCTATAACATACCAGCCATCTGCAATCCGCTTGAATGAAGAGAATTTTGGAAAATTCTCTTTCCTCCCTTTTCTTCTAGCAAACATCTCTGCTGGATTGGAATTCCTTCCATAGTAAATTGTAGTTCATCTACAGTACATGCAGAACATATGTCTGATCGCACCAGGGTTGGGATTCTACCAGTTCGCACCTATTTGCTAGAACCGGTTGTTAACATTCTAAGCAGCTTGGAGAACTGGTTGTTCGAAGAAATTACTGGCCTAATCCTGTAAGGAAGGCAGGAAGGAAACATTCTGGTGTTGCTTACAGAAACTGCCTCTCCGTTAACCCTTATTACATCCTTGGCAGGACTAGACTTCCTGTCTCAGGAACTTCTCTGGAGTTTTTTTCCCTCCTTTGCTGGTACTTTCTTATGTGGAGTGACCATTCAAAGTTACAATGGCACTGAAAAAAGTGACTTATGACCATTTTTCACACTTATGACTGTTGCAGCATCCCCACAGTCATGAGAGGCCAGGTGAGGAAATGCATGCCTCAATGTGAGTGATATTGAGTTGGCCATGCCCAGCCAATAACATGACCACCAAGCCACGCCCACAGAACCGGTTGTTAAAAAATGTGAATCCCACCCCTGGATCCCACCCAATAAACCCTATAAATGAGTTTATTATATTTAATCTGTCATTACTCAAAGGAATACATAGCACTATGCAATACATTTTAAAAGACCTTGATTTACTTACAGAGTTTCTGTAGTTACTGCTTTGAGGTCTTTAAGGTAATCCTCTTCTGGAGACTGGCTCTGTAGCTCAATTCTTGACATTTTAATAAATAATAGGAGCATGTTAAAAAATCCTATATTTTGTTTCATTTCTGTACAGTTCTGTAGTATTTAGAAGATCAGTCTAGTCTTGTGATTACTTCTACATTCAGTCTCATATTTCAACAGTAAAAGTACAGATTTTAAAATCTACATTTAAACATGCATTCTTAGAAGTGTTCTGAGTAGAGATTTAACTACGTTTGTTATCAAATATCTATTTTGTATGCTTAATGCTCTACACTTATATTACAATGTATTTTTTTATCCCAGTTCAATTCCCATAGTAATTTTAAATGGCATTTTAAAATGGATCAAAACAAGACCTGCTAGGCACGTATCTGCAGTATGAGAAGTCTAGCAAGGTGCTCAATAGCTAACTGACATAGGAGTAGTTTCCCTGACAGATAACAGATAATCAGAGTTGGAAGGGACCTTGTAGGTCGTCTAGTCCAACCTCCTGCCCAAGCAGGAGACCTTACACCATTTCTGATAGATGGGAGTCCAATCTCTTCTTGAAAGTCTCAAGTGATGGCGCTCTCACAACTTCTGCCTAATTCATTATCATACCAAAAGAAAAAGAAGTTTGGGCACAGGATGAAATGTAATCGGACTCACCCTTTCTCCAGAGGCTGAGCTTCTAATCTGGCAGGCACTTCTGAGAGTGGCTCTTCATCTTTCACATCTTGTCTGATTCTATCAGGATTCAGATGGAGAGTACCAATTTTCTCAATCTTTTCTGTGGTCTTCCGTACAAAACTAGAAACACTAGAAATCAAAGTAAAAATGGTATGATTCTCAGAAAGAGCAGAATGATAAATGAAAGTGGGTATCTTTAACACCACATTTGCTTTCACAGGCCATTAAGCAAATATGAAAAGAGTTTATTACGCATTAGCATAGATTCTGAATCACTAAGAATCATCCACTGTTCAATTATTAAAGCAAAATACAGAAAAAGGTGCTGGTTCTACAATTAAGATATTTAGCATTGCTTGATAAATGACTGCTATGTTTCATCTAAATATTTAACAAAATGTCAAAACCCCACTATGGAAAATTAAAATACTGGCCAACATTTTTATGATATAAAAGCCACTAAGTCTTTTCATGATTTCATTTCTGGGTAACTTGCTTAAAATCTAGTCTATTAAATCTAATTGCAATTTGATTCTAATTTCACATTCTACCATTTTGGGGGTCTGATCCAAACAAAATTTAATGGAATATTGCAGGCAGCAACTGTCAGAATTAAGTGCACTACTTCTCTACTGCTCATGTAGATAGATTTGTTACACATATAGATTTTCTAAAATGCACAAAAGTTGCCAGTACGTATAGATGTCCACTGTATTGATCTAAAAAAGTAAACATACACTACTGGTAGTATTACCATCTATAAATGATTAATATTTCAGTGTTTTCAGAACTATTACTAGCTACATTTTAAAGCTACATGATTGGAGGGGAGAGGTTAGAGAGAATGAATATTGGACCCAACAGGACTATTTCAAAGCCTGAACTGTATACTCAACTAGACTTATAGAAGAACATAAAGTCTTCATTGACTGGATTTGCTGAGTTTAAAATATCCAGCAAGGATTACTTGAAAGGAGAGGGAAAAAACTGCTGTTCATTTTTGGAAAAGAAGTCACCAGCAGTTTCATGCATATATACTAGAGACAGATCTAAGTAATTATCAGTGATTATCTTTTCAAAGAAAAAGCAGCTGGGTGCATTTATTGCTGCTTTCAGAAATAAAAGAATTAACCACAATTGCCTGAGCTCAAGAACATACAACCGTATGCAAGTCAAAAAATAAATTCTGTAATTTTAGGCACACATAGGTGTTATGTCCCACCTTCCAAAAATAAACAGATAAGGCTGAAAGCAGCAGTCCTCGCAAATAAAGACAGCAACCAGGAATCTTCACTGATAACAGCCGCAGCCAGCCTCCACAAGATAGTCCAAGTTAACAGTTCCAATAAATCCAAGTCCCAACAAGATATTTCAGGTTTAAATCATCCAAGCCAAAGTCTTCGGTTCTCCTTGCAAACAATTTGTTCCCGACAGATTTGCAGAGTCATCCCTCTCCCTTTATAGAGCAGCAGCTAATTAAACTAATTACTGATCTGCCCTCCTCCTGTGCTCCCGTTGGTTTCTTCTCGTAAGGAGACGCCTGCTTCTGACATCCACCCAGCAATCAAACTAAATTATTACTTTCACCTGAAGACTCCATAAGTTCCTCATTATCAGCCGTTCCCGGCTGATAACCTGATTGAGAAGCAGAGGAGGTTGAAGGTTCAGGCCGATCCTGCAAATCAAATGTGTCCTCCCTTGTAACATTCTCATTCAAAACTGCAAGCAAAACTGTTAGGATTCCCTTTTGAAATTCAAACAGTCATTTCACGATCAAATCAAACTAAAAGGAATTAACGTTCTCATTCAAAACTGCAAGCAAAACTGTTAAGACTCCCTTTTGAAATTCAACAGTCATTTCACAATCAAATCAAACTAAAGGGAGTAACGTTCCCTGGTTCTGACGTCAATCCACGATCTAACAGTCATCAGATTCAAAGTTCCTAACAGGATTGGACCTTCCAATCACAACACATAGGTAATTAGATATCACTTTTATCACTAAAAAAGCATTTTTTTTCAAATAACAGCATAAATAATAAAACCCAGCAAAACCTGAAAGTAATTTGTTACCATCCTTAAAACAGCATATCACTGAGAAAAAATAATAATAAAATGTTACTTTCATTTTAATTGTAAGTCACATTCATTTCCTATGTGGTTTCAACTGTAACTGAATAGATCAAAAAGATAGCATCCATGATCTATTAGGAAATATCACCATATTCTTCAAGTTCCTCCCTTGCTGCAATTCTGACATATTGGGGTCCCTTTAACCTTCAAGGTCAACTTCTGGCAAGCTTCAGTGCATGGGGAAGATCTCATTTTCTCTTTCCATCACTGAACTGAAATGTCTTGAAAGTCTGTGGGGCATTACTCTACAAAACTAAATGATAGGAAGTTCAGAAAAGATAACAGGAACCATGCGCTCTACACAATCAGTGGCTACCAGTTCAGCCAGCTTTGAGTCTTACTGTATGGAAGATAATTCTGTTAAATAGTCATGAGCTATGCTTCATACCAAATAATAAAGTACTACAATATTGATAACCTGTTTGTGGGTTTCCCATTGACATCATTTGGTCACAGATGAATCTTTTTACCTCTTCAAGTTTGCTTTTTCTTATAGCCATCTTCTCCTATTAAGACTATCTTTTCCTCTTTTATAGTCAGGCTTTGCATATACTGTAATGGAATTTGTTCCTGGAACATTTTTCTCTGGAAATGGTACAACTTGCTCTTCTGATTAGATTCCATGCTCCCAAGTGGTTTGCATGTAATATCAATCAAAAAACATTTACTTGCTTTGGTCTGCTTCCTCTACCTTTAACATTAATATTTATATTATGGTATATTCTTTTGGATCATTGGCCAAGAATTGATTCTTACTTGAGAATAAGACAAGAAGAGAATTGAGATTGCCCCTAAGTGCTACAGACAGTTGGTCCTCACAAGAAAACTGCAAGGAAGCAGTTTCCAGCTGATCTAGAGCTCTGGGAGATGAGGAAATAGCCAGCCTTGCACAAACCACACTTACAATCTTTATGGACGTTGGTTTTGCATATTTCCTTTTCCAATCACTTTTGGAAATTGCTTGTTAATTGTTTTGGATCAGCCCGTTTTAAAGCACCAGATGAGTTTCTTTCAATCCGTAGTGAAAGAAGTTTTAAATACAATTTAAGAACTTTAAAACATTCTTTTTTTTCAGAATAAACAGCAAAAGGGTTATTAGAACATTGATTTTGGAAAGTTATAAAAAGGCTAAAGGTCCAAGTGGATTTGAATTAGATTTTGAAATTAATTACAAGAATCCTTACCATGGAAAGCTTCTGAATTCTTTAAAAAAAAAAAAAAAGAACAATAGAGCGGGATCTTGAAGGCTGAATATTAGATGGGGCCAACAAGAAACTAAAAATTACAATTAAAGGAGAACACTTAAATTTGACTTACTAATACAGAATAGAACAATTTAACATTGGACATTACAGGATAACTGTGACCCAGAACTTAATTTTAAGAGTGCCTGCCATTATAGACAGACTATGTTTAAAAGATGTTATGAGTGGAACAAATTTTACTGGACAAGACTGAAATTGATCTGAAGGTGGACTTAAAAATGACAGGCTACAAGAATGATATGGAAAAAGATGCTACACTAGATATACAAATGAAACTGGTTGATGTCTTAATAATTAAAAAGGATATTCAAATAACAGACCAAAAGGGTGAACTGGATACGTTTCCTGAACTGGATTTACAAAAGAGACTTGTTCAATTATTTTATGAGAAGGGACAAAGAAAAAATGAACACTCAAATTCTAGGACCTTATTTGAAGGGATTAAAGATGAAAGATTACTGCTAATAGTAAAAGAAAGGAATATAGAGTTGATTATAAAGTATAACCAAATAAAGCAGATAAGCTATCTCTGGTAACCCTGAATGGACTTTTACTGATCAGGATTGAACAATGAGGCTTTAAGCAATTGTTTATAGATAAGACATGAGATATGGGAAGAAAAGATCATTTGTTGTATTTTAAGAGAAGGTAATAACTTACTATATAATTGTTTATAATTGTGATGAAGGGAGAAGCCATTTCTTTATACATTTTTCTTTTCCTTTACTATATTTTTCTTTTTCTTTTCTTTTTTGTTTTCTGCACTTTTAGTTTGTATTAGTTTTTATCTTTTTAATTTTAATGTTTAGTAAAATCACTGTAAAAAAGGAAAGATGAGCAGTAGAGAATAAAGAGTAGAAACAAAAGCATATCTTAAGAGACATATCAGTAAAAAAGAAAAGTATTATTCCATAAATAAGGGTTTTTTACCTCTAAAACAACTTCTATTTTCAAGAAAATGTTCTTGTTAAATAATTTTGTTCATAAAATGAGCCATCTAGGTAAAGACAGAGACAGACTACTTCCCATGCCAAAAATATTATACTGAAAAAAAGGGGCACACATATTACTTACAACCTTGTTATCTGCAGTTCACATATCTGGAGTTGTCACGGATCAAATCTCACTTCAAGGTTTTCAGAGTTAATGCTTTTGGTCCTCTTTGTTACTTTACAAATTCACAAAATGGCAGGTGGGCTTTTGGTAGGCATAAAGTACCTTTTGCTCTTGCTCCTCCATCAAGAGTGGCAGATCTTCCTGAGTCAGTCTAGTCCTGTGATGGCAAACCTATGGCACGCGTGTCACAGATGGTACGCAGAGCCATTTGTCCCGGCACACGAGTTGCAGGCAAACTTACCTCACTGCACATGCACATGCCTCACAACTGATTTTCAGCAGATTTGAGGCCTTTTTCGGCCTCCCAGCGGCTTGAGGAAGGTTTCTGCAGGCCTTGCAAGTCGAAAACTAGCCCTGTTTGTCACTTTCTGTTTTTCCGAAAATACCAGAAGTGACAAAATGGGGCTAGTTTTCAGCCTGAAAAGCCTGCAGAAGCCTTCCTCAAGCCTCTGGGAGGCCAAAAAAGGTCTCAAATCAGCCAAAAATCAGCTGTGAAGCACAGTGCAGGTAAGGGAGTGGCGTGGAAGGGTGGGGAGTGCATATGCATGTGTAGGAAGCATGGGGGGGCATGCACATTGCCTTCTGGGTGCTGGCACATGAGCGTGAGTGTGCAAGCTCGCCCACAAATTTTGGCACAAGAGCCCAAAAAGGTTAGCCACCACTGGTCTAGTCACAAGGCTCCATGCAGCCTCCTTGTGGCAGAAGATCTTGCTCTTCAAGGCAATTTGCTTTGCCGGTGATGGAGGAAGTTGCTTTACTCATACCATATAGTTCACACAGACTTCTCTAATTTGTGCAACTTTTTCACGATCTGGTGAAGGAGTGTCTTAATCAAGTCAGGTGAATTAGTGCTTCCCACAGACCATTGTCAGCTTGTTCTAAAAACCCTGAGGTACTTGTGGTTAGGACAGTCCTTTCTCTTAAAGCCTTTAATCAAAATGTTGGTGATTGTGGAAAGTCTATACTTAGGCAACCACATGGTGTGAGTGGGGAAATCCCCTTGTCGCCAACTAAACAAGTTGCTCCAAAGAAAACCAGCTAAATTGTATGGAGTTTCAAGACAGGGTTGAGCCATTGAAATTTGTCACAACCAAGAAAAACTGATGCAAAGTACAGGCACCTTCTCATGAAGGAAGTGGCCAATTATTGATTCTAAACCCTATATTTCCTAAAGGTACAAGATAGCAATAGCACATAGACTTACATACCACTTCACAGTGCTTTATAGACTATTCTAAGTAGTTTACAGAGTCAGCCTATTGCCTCCAACAATCTGGGTCCTCATTTTACCAAACCCAGAAGAATGGAAGGCTGAGTCAACTTTGAGCCAGTGAGGCCCGAACTGCCAAACTGCTGGCAGCCATGATCAGCAGAAGTAGCCTGCAATACTGCATTCTAACCACCACGCCATCACGGCTCTTTTAAACTACTTAGTGATATCTTGAAACTCATAAGTAAAATACATCCTGGAGAAGTCCACTGCTCATTCCACTACTGTGACATTTTTAAAAGAAATATTTGAGTCTCTGTTAACTAGCTTTGGGCAAGTAGAAAGCTAGGTTGGAAAAAAAAAGGTATGGATTAATATGGTATGTTGAAATTAAACCAAAACAAATGATGTAATGGATAAATTTAATTTACACACAATTTTACCTGTCCTTAACAGCTTGAAGGGAGACGAGAGGAGATGGGGAACGGAATGACAATGGAATACTGAATGGAAGAAATGTCTCATTCCGAACATTGTCCACCACCAGAGAAGCATGAGATATGCTGTCTAATGAATAAAATTAAAATGTAAAGTCATAACATAAAACAACAACATTTAGGAATTTTGTCAAGTGATTTGCCTATAATGTTTAGGAAGGGCTACATGACATTCCCCATTAGTTTTTTTCAGATTGAAATAGATTTTTTTTTAAAATTCCCCAGCCACAACTGTCACCTTTTAAAATTACTATGGAAACAGCTCAATCATTTTGAATCTCCAAAGAATATAGAGATCTGAGAAACTTCTTTCACCCAGGAAGGTATGATTAGAATATGACAAACCACAATAGGAAAAAATCAATAGGATTTTCTGCTAGAATTCATTCAGTTTTATAAGTCTCACAATGAAAAATGTCAGGAATGTAATTTCTTCATGTTATAATTTATGCCATTTGCCCACCAATTATTAAAATACTTTTTATATTATAGAAGGAATAGGTTTAACTGAAACAAAAATAGAAAATATTTCCATTACCCTTTTTATAAGGAAATGAATTTGTATAAATTCAATTTCTATAATTTTATATAGAAACATGCATAACTTGGTTATCAGTGAGTTTTCACATTAATTATAATATATAATAGCTTATAAGGTAATAGCACATATCTGGCCTTATCTTGGTTTGAAAATTAGTCAAGTCAAATCTAATTATTACTTGGATGAGAAAGCTACAGAATTCCTTGACATATTATATAAGCAGCCACGTATTCTCAACATTACTACAAAGTGCTCACAAAACACAACATATAAATTAAATGTGGTCTTACTCTATTCAGCAACTTAAGATTGCCATATGACAAATAACTCAAATATATACAACACTGCAAAAGATAGCTGACCAACAAATGTTATTAAAAAAAACAGCTTTTGTGAACTGACATTCACTATATAATATCCGGGTGCTGCAGCTCATAAAAGCTTATATCTCTTAATAAAGTTTGTTAAACTAACAAGATGCTACTAGATTCCTTTTGGCCATGATAAAGTAACACAATTCTCTTCCTACAATATATACAATTCTACAGTATATTAATCTCATTCAGCATGGTCCATAAAAAAACATTACATGCCAAGGTTCTTCAGAATCAATAAGTTCTTTGCCAATCTATGAATCTTGCATAGACCTACTGGGGTGCAGTGCAGACTAGTCTCCTCATGGGACACCCCAGGGCAACGTAACTTTGTCATGGCTACATATTCTGGCTGCTAGACCTCACAAGGATTTCCCAACAAGAAGCAGCAGCATAATTATAAAAACAAAGGCTCTTTTAAGACACAATAATGGTATATTCTGTTACACCACATGAAATAAATAATAGACCTGTTTATGAAAGCAATAGGTTATTAATAAGTATAATTATTAATAAGTATTAATAAGAAAGGGAAGCAGTTCCAAATGTAGATTCTCTGATATATTGTAATGTATCATGTGTCAGATTATCATGTCTAATTTTTAAACCATGATATTTTCATAAGCCATAATGGCCAGATTCACATATACCTGATTTACAAACCACAATGGCTAGACTCACATAGCACACTAAGCCAAAATGAAAGAAAGCATATTCTACTTTGGTACAATGGAGCAAAGCTCATCACTTAATTAGCTAATCAGCTAACTTCTGACAGATCATTAAAATTCAGAATTACTTATAGCTAAGTAAGAAAAGGAGACAAAACATATGGGTGAACACTTATGAAAATAGCATAGAATGCTGTCATTTTTATTTAGTTTTAATATGAAATTAGTATTCAAAATCAATGCAATCCTATCTTGAGTCAATTCAATGTCATTTATATACAGCCCAAATAATGCCAAATTATTGGAATTAGAACAACTATGTTCTCCAAGTAATCAAAACATATCCAAATGCATGTTTATAAACGTACCCAACAAACATTTAAATTACCATGTTCAAGCTGTTCTTCCTCTTGTTGTATGTGAAATTCTTTCAGCCTTTCATCTTCTGATAATGTTTGGCTATGTAAGGAACAAGAATCTTCATCAGACTGACTGTTTCTTCTACTAATAACACGATAAATTCCAGAATCTAATATGTTGAAACTCTCCTGTTAAGAAAACCACAATATAAACTATGTATTGCCTCTTACAGAATTAAACGTAGATCAAAACATTTATTTTATGATAAAACAAAGCCAACTTACTCTAAAGGCCTATAGATTTTAACAAGAAAAATTACATGATTAACTTTCCAAGTAAATGAAATGTATAGACGGGGCTAGTATTCATTTCTACAGCCCAAAATTATAGCACTGTCTCAAACACATATATTACATCACAAGTAAATATAGTAAGTGCATTGTTAGTGTTATTATGGCAAGGGTTATTTGCAGAAAGAAAAATTGTTGACTTCCCAGAGAACTTTTATTAAAGGCAAAATACATATTGATTTTTTGCAAATCATACTATGCTGTAATTTTCTGTCAAATTAAGACACTCTTGGGATAAAACATACAAGCCAAACAGTAGTTTCAATTTTAAAAAATTGCAATACATACTGTATGACAACTTCCTAACACATACAATGTAACACATATAGTGAAAAAATGTATAGGAAGATATTTACGTGTGAAGAAATACTGCTTCTTCTGCTGCTGCATGCAGAATCTAAAGGCTCAAGTTTTGAGATCAGTTCTTCAAGTTGAGTAATGAGATCAGTTTCTGTTGACAGATCCAACTGTGACTTCAAATGTTCCAGCTTATCTACAGAAAGAAGCTTTCTTGCCTAACAATGCACAAAATGAACGTCTGAGGAAAAAATCATCAAGGCTTTATAAAATTATAGCAGAGTTTTAAATTTGCTTGGGGAAACATATTACACATTCATTAATTATAAATTATTCCAATTTATAGATTATTCTTTATATAATCATTATTAATAAATTATTGCTTATGACTTAATTATTTAACACTGGTATATTTATTATTACATTATAGTTTAATAATTCCAATTTAATTCCAAGAGCCAATGTGATTTATTGCTTAAGGTAGCACTAGGACTCACAATCTCCTCACAAGAGAGAAAAGTGAGTTCTTGTCCAGCATAAAATATAGATTTTTAGTAAAATTATACTGGAAGTTAACATACAGGAAACAAATGGATTAAAATGATATGTATCTGATACTGAAGATATTAAAGAAACAATAAAATTGCATTACTAAAAATTGAAATTAGAAAGATCAAGTAATGAACTGAACAAACACAAGCCACTTTAAATCATCTTAATTTATGAAGATGAAAATTCTAAGTATTACAAAAAATAACCCACTATATGCTTGGGAAATACCCATCCCATTTCAAAAGGATCTTGAAATCCCTAGAGCATGGATTTCAAACTCGATTGCATCACGTATCGTGATGTTTCATGATGTTTTTTGCCTTTGCGGAGCCAGGATGGATGTGGCCTGATCATGACGTATCTGGCCTGCAGGCCGCCAGTTTGAAATTCCTGCCCTAGAGAGTCTGAAGGAGACACAGGGGAAACAAGCCTGTCATGTATGGCTCTAGAGGATGGTGTTCACCTGCATTTCTTAGTTGGGGGGAATGCTGTTATCTTTCCACCTAGTGGTACCTATTTATCTAGTTGCATTTGCATGCTTTCAAACTGCTAGGTGGGCAAGAATGGAAGTGAGTAATGGGAGTTCTCACCATTACTCAGCACTCAGGTTTCAAAATTGGGCTGGCAGCTTTCCAGCTGACAAGTTCAGTGTCTTTAATCGCTGAGCCACCATGCCAGTTGTAAACCTTAAGATGAGTTAATTTAAAAACCATAGCAAGAGGTTTGTATTGTAAAAAAAGATATCAGAATTGTTTTAAATAAAATGAATATATTAAACAGTGAATAAAAACAACATTACCCGACACAAAACAATAGAATTCTGGAAAAGACAGCACGTTTTGGCTGAAAGAGTCCAAAAGCTTCTTTTAAGCAATCGTTCCACACATTTTTCAATTGTCAGAAGGGAGAGATGAGAGACTTTTCCATTGGTATGTAAGCAGAAGAGTTCATTTTTATATATTGCAATATCATAGATGTCTAGAAAGAAAATATTACAACTTTAGACAAAACTTTAGTTCAAAATCAGCTTCAAATGCTGCACGTACATCATAATTAAGAATAAATTTACTCTTCTCTTTAAAATGTTGTTAACGGGCATGTGAAGGATAAGATGATAGCATATCTGTCCTGCGTCAGAAACAGACAATTTTCTATGGAGATATCTAAATTATCCCAGTTATTCAATACAGAATTTGGATTATTTTTTCTTTTCTTAAAGGGAAGACTTCCTTTATATAATTCAATAATTAATTATAATTTAAGGAAATATAAATAAAAGAGAAAGCAAAAGGAAAGGGAAGATCACCAGCAATAAGTCAATCACTATTACTCTGTTCAAATAAGAACTGCAAATCATAGAGTCCTGCCATATATGTCTGCATACATTTGTTAGGATACAAGTTTACAAGACACAATATAGGTATAGTACTCCTTCTTTAGCGATAACAACTAAGATCGGCAAGTCAGCCGTTTAGCGAAGGAGCCTCTAAGTGAAAAGTCATGTGACTGTAACCATCTTATGATTTTACTTCAGCTTTCCTTTGCTTGACAGCATCAGAAGGATACAAACCCAAACAGCAGGAGGGTGGGCCCAAACAGTGGAGAAGATTCCTAGAATCTGAGTCATGAGGGAACCAGGTAAAAGGACAAACCTCACCCTACGGAATGCTCATTCCTGGCCTGGGATAATTAGCAAGAAAAAAAATGATGTTTGTATTTACGTTCATTGGAGAGGAAGGGATTAAAGAGAGTAAGCAGAGAGAAATCACAAATAGAAAAGAATGTGCTATTAAGGCTGTTTGCCTAGTAGCTCAATGTTTAGGAGGCAAAGAAAAAGGTGTGAAATTGATCAGGGTCTCAGTTTCAGAAAACAGCTGAGAGCCAGTCAGTGTTCTAATCAATTAAGGTGTTCTGTAATCAGCGAATTTTAGAGACTCCAGTGCACAAGAGAAAAACAGTTCAGGAAGACATACAGATAGTTCTCAACTTACAACAGTTCATTTAGTGACCATTCAAAGTTGCAATGGCACTGAAAACAGTGACTTACAACTCTTTTTCACATTTAAAACCTTTGTAGCAGTCCCATGATCAAAATTCTGATACTTGGCAGCCTCTTCATACTTATGATCTACTTATGATACTTACAGCCGTTGTTCATACTTATGACCGTGTCCCAAGGTCATGTGATCCCCTTTTGGAATCTTCTGACAAGCAAAATCAATGGGGAAGCCAGACTGACTTAACAATCATGTTACTAATTTATTGACTGCAGATATGAGGCAGGAAAGGTTGTAAAGTGGGTCAAAACTCACTTAACAAATGTCTCACTTAACTACAGAAATTTTGGGCTCGATTGTGGTCGTAAGTCAAGAACTATCTGTAATGTTTAGGCAATCTGGAGGAGGGACAAAAAAAATGGGTGAGGTACAGGACAATGCATACTGACTGACTTAATTGCAAACACATGACTGAGAGAAATGCTATAAAGGCCACAAAGGTGCTTTTCCCCGTCACAACAGCAAACAGAGTTGTATTAAATTGTGATTTGTCATACGATTAAATTCTTAAAACTTTTGTAGGGGGATATTTGGGCACAGTGAAACTTCACTGACATTGTTTCAAGTGTGCATAAAAGCATTTTTCTCTACATTTACCTTTCACTTCACTCCAGAGGAGAACTTGGACATTCTGAGGAATGAAAATATAAATGCCTCTTTCTGTCCACGTCATTATACAGTGCTCACTGTAAGGAAACAGAATGCTTGTAAAGAAAATGTACGTGGCCAAAATGTTTTGTGTTTGTTGTTCACCGATACTATTCTTAATTTTTGACTATTCAAAATAGGAACATTGCCATTGCATGATGGGAAGCATTCACTTCCTTAGAAACAGGTAGAGGGAAAGAGACTCTTTTCTCTCAAACAGTAAGGTTGGCTTATCCAAAAGCCTAAAATTTGTTCTCACCTGCCCTCTAATCTGCAAATCCCCCCACTGAACTCAAAGAATTGTTGTAGGCAGCCCAGAGTCACTTTCTCATGAGGCTCTATCAATTAGAAAATAAAATAAATAAAAAATTGTTTCCACATAAAGAAGCATAGATGATGAAAATATAATGTGATAAGCCACTTGTTTAAGATTGCAGCAGAGAAACAACACCGCACTCATCATACTTGTTAGGGCAAGGAACGTTTTTACTGCATTTAAAGGAGCAGAAGTTTCTGTGCGTCATAAAAATTCACAGAAATTGCTCCTATGGCAGCGTAGTTCTAAATCTTCATTATGTGACACTTAAATAGAACAGTACATTAATCCATTAAATCCCGATTCTGATAAGAAAACAGTATGACTTTTAAACAATTACTATCTCTGTTCGTACATCTTGCAAGTCCATAAGATTATTTTATTTGGCTTTTGGCTGTGTACAAGGATTTATTTATTATGTTTTGTAAATACAGGATTACAAGAGCCAATAAATAAGCCATGATTTAACAGCTTGCATGTTTGCAAACCCAGCCAGTTTTCCTTTATTTGATAAACACTGGAGGAAAACCATAGATTAAACCAGGGCTATCAAACTCCTGGCCCATGGGCCGGATGCATCATGTGCTGGCCATGCCCACACCCGGTTTAGCAAAGCGGGGAGAAGTCCCAATACATCACATAATGCTGCCGTGACGTGAGTTTGACACCCCTGGATTAAACCAATATGTGAAATGTCACTATCTTTTAACATCGCAGTATTGTTTGGGGGATAATACAAAATTTATTTGGAGATGAATGACATATAAATACAATTCTTACATATGCAAAAGAGATAAATCAAATAAAAATTTAAGAAATCTCAATTTATAAAAATAAAAATGTTGCTTTACATTTACCTTAAATAAAGCAGCTTGGGGAATGCCAAAGACTGAGGAGAGCATGCAGAAACATTATACTCTGGATCCTCCCTTTAAAAAAACACATTTATGTATATTAGGGTTTAGTTCTACTAATTGCATCAGTTTTATTTCATGCTTCAGAATTAATCTGTTAAATCACAACAAGCTGAAGATTCGGTACTGCTTATAGTTTTGAATAACTTTATTTTAAATTCTTTTCTTGAACCTATTCATTTACTTTACTCCAAACTTTACCTTATTTTTTAGAATGTGCCCAAACACCTAAACATACTTTTCCTATTTTAAAGTATTTGTCTATAACAATAGAAAGAATATTATGTACAAATGTTACCCATAAAAATATTACAAGTAATACTTTGTAGACAGTTTCAGACAAATATCTGAAAGTTTGGCACTATGTCAACCCAACATAAATCTATTTCTGGCAATGTTTCTACAATTGGATATTGTCAAGATTTTCTATATAATAAGTTGTGATATATCACTAAAATTAGTTCAGACAGGGTATCTTTGCCTGCCTATTCAAACCACTTTTCTTAAATGATTCTCTGGACAGATACCACAAAGAAGGAAGAGGAGTACGGCAGTTTTTTCAAACACATTTTATTAAAAGGTGTAAGCTTCTGTAAGCTACACCTCACTTCACCAGGTGGTTGATGTGAGCCATACTCACCAAAGCTTCTGCCTTTTAATGAAATGTATTGGTCTGAAAAGGTACTTGTTGTGGATCTCTTCCTATGTGAATCAGCAGATAAATTTCAGAAGCAATTCAAAGTGGCATCACTTTAAAGGCACCTCTACATAATCTTCATGATCTTGTATATATGTCACTGGAATGACTATATCAAAGTCAGACAGAATTTGTACTGATCACTTTAGATTTTTGTTTCAGCTTCACTTTAACTTACATGTTGGAACGCTGATGAATTCCTCTCCAAGTATTAAACAAACCTGGCACACCCCCTAGATTTCAAGCCTTCACATCCCATGGTTGCATTAGAATCAATACCTGATAGTAATAACAGGAAGAGGTGGTGATGACAACAACTGTTTGAACTGATGTGTACTCAGCACTTCCCCTTCAAAATTCACTTCCCATATCCGTGAACCAGGCCGTGCACAATATATCAATGATTGTTGATTGGCCCCACTCTTTCCAACAGGAAAAAAACAAGCTCCATATTCACCATCTCTTTCCTTATTTCCAATCTTCCAAAATTTTTCCCTATTTAACCAAAAACAAGAGAATGTAGAAGAAAATTTACTGAACATTATTAAAAATCCCCAAAGATTTGAAGGCATTCACAGCTCCATATTTTAAGATGTATATATAGTAGATTATTTTTTATCTTATAAAATTCAAGGAATTATACCCAACAGCAGAAAATGAAAGTCCTTTAGGTTAATAGGGCTTTCCTGTCTCCTTCCCTAACCTTCATTTTGCTATAGTACCAAAAGGCACTCCTGAAAATTGAACAACTTGCAGGAACAATATCAGAACTTGCCTGTGCTATCTTGGCTTGACTTCTGGGGAATGTCAAGGATGAGGCAGCCAGAGCTTACGCAAATTTTATTATATTTACTCTCTTTTGGAGCACAATCTCTAAAGCAAATTGTTTGTGAAATTTTATCTTGGATTGCACAGAGCGAGGCCAGAGTAAAATAAATAAAAAGCCTCGTAAATTATCTGAAACCCTTGGAAATAAAGTTAGTAACATATTGAATCAGCATACTTCAGGGTTATATAATGTAGAAGCCTTGACAGTCTGAAGATTACAACTAAACATAAACAAATCAGAAGGCTATAAAATTTACTATATAAAATAGATAGTATTCTGAGAATATTATAAACAGCAAATTTTCAATTTCAACTATGCTTTTAAAGTAAAAAAGCTAATCCTCAATTTACAACCACAATCGAACCCTAAATTTCTTTTCTAAACAAGAAAGTGGTTTTGCCCCATTTTTATGACATCTCTTGCCACAGTTGTTAAGTGAATCACTGCTTTGCTTGTCAGAAGATCGCAAAAGGTGATCAGTGGCCCCAGGACACTGTAACTGTCATAAATAAATGCCAGTCACTAAACGTCCAAATTTTGGAGGTGCTGCAACAGTTGCACAGTGTGAAAAATAGTCATAAGTCACTTTTCTCAATGCCTCTGTAACTTCAAATGGTCACTAAATGAACAGTTGTAAGTCGAGGACTACTTGCACTCCCTCTTTGTAGAGTTTTTCAAGTATTAATTGAAAGCTGCTAATTAATCTAATGAAGGAAAGGTTCTTATATTAAAACAATTATCCTCACCAGAGATGGCTAGAAATAAAAGGGGTAGCCCGCTAATTGAAATTATATTTATCTATCTAATTTTGAAACCATTTTATTTTTGCACTGTTGTTTTTAAATTCTCTAGGAAATTATAAACCAATTGTGAATCTAGCCACCCAAACTGAGAATGTGAGCAGGAAGCAGGAAAACAAGCAAGCAAAAACTCTCAGTGGAGGGAGGGAGGGAGGATTCTCCCTAACAAAGAGAGAGGGAATAAAGAAAGATCTCTGCTCAACAAGAAGAAAAGTAAAAGAAGATTTATATATGTGTTCTAGTTCATTTTTAATTAACTAGATTGCTGCCAACTAAGTAATCACAATAAACAATATGTTTCAGCTCTATTCTGCAATTTAAAATATTTATGTTTTATATCTTATGATATTCCTTATTTTCAATAATTATAACTATTACCTCAATGTATGCAAGACATGAAAATGTTGTAGCTTTCATGCTAATTAACTAGTCCTCGTCTAGAACTCATGACAATTTGAGTTTGAGATCCTTGATCTAACGCATATAATTTAATGTTACGTTCAGATGTGTGACAGAAATATATGCTCTTATTTCTAAGTTCAAGATATTATTTTCAAAGCTGCCTTGCAGATTACCTGTATGGCATCAAATTTTCAGACAGTAATCAATAATATTTTAATTACCTCTCTGTGTCACATAAGTAAGAGCGTGTAAGAGAAGAGATAAGCAATCTGCCATCCAGATAATCAAGCTGAACCACACGAGAATCAACTGTGGTTATAATATGAATGGGAAACATCACAAATGCAGTAGCAGCCTGTAGGAAAAAAATGAAAATGCACTAATATTTTTCATGCCTGAGAAATCCATTCATAGAGAACAGGAGTTTCAAAATTAAATTACTTAAATTGTTCAAGAAAACAAAAGCAAAAGAAAACTTACATATAATTAATCTTTTTAGATGCATTTCATGTTACACTTCAAATGTCTGGAACTGCATGTCATTAATATCTAAGGATCAGTGAAAACATTTTTCTAAATACTAATATGAACTGGGGGGAAAGAGAATGCAGTGCATGAGTATGCAGTGCTTCTTTGCACTTGACTGATTGATGTCATCATTTGACATTATCTTCTTAAACAATTCAGAATACAAACAGATCCTCCACAAGGATGCCACAATAACCCAAAATGTATTTTTATGTGTGTGTTTTTAATCCAAACTGTCAAATTTGGCTCCAATGAATTTGAACCAAAAAGTCTACCATAAACCAGAGTTTCCCATTATATCCCAATTCACAAATGACCTCCTTTGCTCATCATGGAAGCAATCTATTTCACCCTGGCAGTTATCATCAGACCTGGGTTTGAAACTGGGTTTGAAACTGAGAATAAAGGGGAGATCCGTCAAAAAAATTAACCTATTAACCTTGCAATGTTGCAGCTTGTGCTTTCTTTAAAGACATTGGTATCTTGGAGATCAGAAATCCTGATTGTTAAGATTTGCTAATGTTTGTTAAGACTTACTAACGCTTAGCTCTTATGTTCCAAATTCAGTAAGAAAATATACCTTTCCCTGTTTGGAGGAATTAATCTTGATCACAGACACTTTCCCCACATGATCACCAACAAAAACACGGAGTGCATTAGTATCCCAACAAAGAGCTGTTACTTTTCTGCCTTTGTGCTCAGAAGAGATATAAATCCTCTCTGGCTTCCCACGACGCTCTTGATTTAATTCCCATACAACAACAAGGCCTTGACTGTAAAAATAAAGTTTATTATTTTTAAGCTACCATTTATTCATTACATTGCATTCATTATATTCAATAAATATTAAAAGACACAATTGAGGTCAAATGTTAATTGTAAAATGAAGTCATTTCAAACCCTTCCACTGCCAGCTGAAAGTTAGCCCCTGCAAAAAAAAAGGTTGTATGCCTCTTCTCTTAGCAATTCTCCTCCAATGGATCCCACTAAACAAACAAAATGTTATTTACAGATAGAATACTTTGAAGGACAAATAATATTAACCTTGTTCTGACAAACCATGGTTTGACACTTGAATTTAAGTATTTCATCTCTTTCCCCTTATTTGTCATAATATTCCACCTGTGATATTTTGCAAGTCAGACCTGATCACAGCATTCAATGTTTTTGGATATCAGGACAAGCTGATAGTGTACATATTTATTCTTCATCCCATGCACACAAATGAGTGGTAGGACAGTGGAGCATCTGAAGTTCTAAATATACTATTAAGTGAAAAGGCTATTAGTTAAATGGATGAGCAGCCTGGAAAAAAGAGTGGACACCTCTAATTTTAACATTCATTTCACTTTCATTTTTCTCAACACATATATGAACATCACTGAAATAAATCTTCCCTTGCCAAAATGTCATGATGAACAGTACATAAATCATTCAATTAATATTTCATTACCTGGTAGCCACAGCAACATAATCCTCATCATGTAAACAAAAGGCAACACAGGAAATGGCACCTTCCTACAAAGAGATAAGATCAGACTTATCCCAGGTAGCCTACTGTTTCTACAATGTCTGACACCCCCACCACATCACATACATTTCTTAAATTATCTACTCCAATCGTAATAGCTGGTATTACTTATTTGTACTCTAAGGTCTAAAAGTTTAAATGGATTTTTTCAACCTCTTAATCCTCAAAAAACTCAGACATGAGCTATACAAATAGAGTATCAATGAAGAAGTAATACTGGTAGCAAATCCATTCTCCCAAATGGACATATATATTTTTTGCTGAAAACTAGCAAAAACAACATAAATAGTGGTCACATGACCATGATAAACTTCAACCAAATATGCAGTATGGTAAATGTGAGCTGGTTGCCAAGCACATGAAATGTGATTGGGGGAAAGGAGTGCAGCAGTTATAACTTAAAGTCCAATCATAGGTAATCACAGGTAATAATCATAGGCGTGCATAAGCGCACCAATCGTGCCTACCGTCCCTGTTCTATTGTTTTTTTATTTTTCTTATAAGTATCCATCTCATGTATTCAAAACTATGTTTATTCTTATACCTGTATCTTGTAAGTGACTGACAAATCAAATAAATAAAATAAATTTGGGGGAGGGTGCGTTTCATCATAATAGGAACAGTTGTTAAGCAACAAGTCATTAAGCAACAACTACTGTATTTGACCTTTAAAATTAATTTTGCTTTCTTTCATTGTTATTTTTCTGAATCATCCTTTCCAGTTCCTGCCCATTACAATACTTTCTTACACTAAGGTTGCTGCAAGTTTAATTCAGTCTTACCTTATGAGTGAGGAAAAGCCTCTGTTTCCAACCATCTTTCTGGATGAGATTCAGGCCTCCACCTGAACTCCCTAGTGCTAACCATTTTCGAGAAATTCCTATACATGTACACTTAAGGGGGGGGAAAAGGAAAGTTGTTATTAAAAGGCTTCACTTTGTGTCTGATTCATATATGGTAATTAATCATACTTTCACTTCCAAGAAACAGGCAGGAAAGATAGTTCTACCATGTTAATTTTGAATTCTAGAATCCACAAGTCTTCTCAGCAGCTGTTTAGCACAAAACACACTGCCCATAAACGAGTGGCTTCTTGAGGCTTTTTATGTAGCTCCAATTCCCCTTCACGCATCTGACATTTTTTTGATCAGTTAACATTTAAAAACACTGTAATAGACTGGTTAAAGTAGAAGAGCTAGGGTACGGAGGTAACCAACATGAAAAATGGAGAGTTTGAAGACAAAATTATTTTCCTCTGGGCAGAGAGCCACATTACTTTGAGACATTTCCTTCCTTTTGCATCTCACCAGGTGTATCCTGATACATACCACAATGACTATATGCTGCCCTTGATCAAAAAGAGGGTATAATAGTCCAGTTCACAAACACCACCATACTATGTTTTAATGTTAAAGAATAACCCTTAGTAAAGAACTTGTATTGTGCATGCCTCTCCACTGTCTGCAGAATTTCAGATACTTCTGCTTTCATTTTTAGATTAATAAAGACAGTGTTTGTGATTGTAAATCTACTGCAGACAAAAAATCTAACATGAAATAAGCTACTGTATCTTCCAAACTTTAAACAGGTTTGTTGAACATGCACTGTTAAAACAAACAAGGCTCAGAGACAATTGACTGAAATTGTCCTAAGTACAGGTAGTTCTTGGCTTACACCATTTGTTTAGTAATCGTTTAAAGTCACAATGGAACTGAAAAAGGTGACAGGGTCATTTTTACATATGACTGTTGCAGCATCCCCATAATCTCAAGATCAAAATTTGGGTGCTTGGCAACTGGCATGTACTTATGACAGTTGCACTATCCCAGGGTCGTGTGGTCACCATTTGTAACCTTCCCAACCAGCTTATAACAAGCAATCAATCAGAGAAGTCAGATTCACTTAACGAGTGCATGATTCACTTAACAATTGCAGTGATTCATTTAACAACTGTGGCAAAAGCAGTCATAAAATGGGGTAAAATTTATTTAAAAACTGCCCTGCTTAGCAATGGAATGGTAATTTTGGACTCAATTGTGGTCATAAATCAAGGACTAGTTTAGAATAGCTACATACAAAAGGCTTACACGTTGAGGACTCAACAGTCTATTTTGGTCATAAGTTGAGGACTATCTGTAACCAATTTTGATGTTTATCCAATTTCTAAATCCAAGATGCACTGGGGAAAAAACTGTGGAGAATTATTTATAATGTAGCCAGAATTTAATTTACAAAATTACAGCAGATTTACAAGAATTGCTAAATCATTCTTTGCTGATAGCTCTAGCTGAAAAGTGAAGAGCTAACATGAACAGGCATTTTGATGTTTTGGTATTCCTAATAAAAAGTGAAACTAACTTTCAAAATATTTTGGCTGGCTATTAATCAAGTACATAGCTGAAAAATGGAACAGGAAACAAAATTTAATCTGGCTAAACTACAGATGTTATATCTGAGCAAAATATTACCCTTTCAGTTCCTCAGGCAGTTTGCAATTAAATTCTTTAATTCCAGTGTTATCTTTTATTTTTATAATTTGCTTTTTACTTTTATTTGTCCAAAACTGTTTCAGTTGCACACCAACTACCATGATTGCCTACAAGTGACAAACAACTATAAATGTTGCTTTATAATGTATTATACACTATTAATATATGGGTTGTCAAGCTATAATCAAAAAAGGGAGAAAAAGCAGAAAAATAGTTGTGACTCAAACACACCTTCAGACGACTGGAATCCAGCCTGAGAGCAGAAAGCAGGGGACTAAGACATTCAAACTCTGCCAACACATGGCTGTAAGATTCAGGTATCGCTGCCATGACAATTGCCTCTTACAAATGTTATTGCTTCATTTTTCTATTCCTTCTGTAAGGGAAACATGAAGTATGATTTCATATTGTTAATTTGGCTTCCTAAACTTACAATGCTGATACTCAAGGTATAAAATACCCAACATCCAGATGGCAGCTATTTTAACCTAGTTCATCTGTGCTAACCTATATTTTGCTCCATAAACCACAATAATTTACTGTAATGTAGTGAGTTAAGATAAAACCTATTTTTAAAACAAGCTGTTAAACTTGTACATTGTCCTAATCCAGAACTAACCAACTTCTTCAGGAAGAGGATATAAACTTGTCAGATTATGGCAAGACCAGTTGCCTCTTGAAAGCCTATTTTCCTTGTTCCATTGGGGAGTTGTATTTTATTCTGAGTCAAGTATATCATTTTTACTTGTTAGCAAATTATATGGAGAGAGAGACTACAGGTAGTCAACTTACAGATGTTCATTTTGTGACTGTTTAAAGTTACAATGGCACTGAAAAAAGTGACTTATGACTAGTTTTCACACTTAGAACCACCGCAGCATCTCCAGAGTCATCTGATCACAGTCATCTGGGTGCTTGGTAGCTGACATACAGTATTTATAATAGTGGCACTGTCCTGAGGTCATAATGATCACTATTTGTAACCTTCCCATATGGCTTCTGACAAGCCAAAATCAATGGGGGAAGCCACATTCGCTTAACTACAGCAAGATTCATTTAACTGCAATTATTCACTTTGACAAAAAGAATCATAAAATGGGGCAAAAGTCACTTAACTGCTTTGCTTAGCAGCAGAAATGTTGGGCTCAATTGTGATCGTAAGTCAAGGACATCTGGTATTCATATAAATCCCTATCTGTGGTTTAGAAAAAATACATACAAGAGACTTGCACTTGAGGCACCCAACAGTCTCTCCTGCTCAGTCTGTTTCCAATGTACCAACTTTTTTTCATAGTGTTTGGTGGACCTTTCCCAACTGTTTAGTTTTTATATAAAGCCCTTCAGTCATAGGGCAACTTAATCAGGGGACACAATTAACTCTTCTCTTGGCACTAGTTTGAATGGAGGAGCAGGGAGAAAATTTAGGAGGTGCAGAATGACTTAGGAACTACAGAGGAGTGGCTTTGCTATTGCTCTATCATTCTGTATTCAGGAACTGAAAGTACAAGTTAAATCACTCCAGCATTTTCAGAGAAGCTACCAGAGTCAGGGTTGAGATAAATATTACCAGCCATGGTTTCAACATGTGATTAAAACTCTCATCTTAATCCACAATCTGTCTTCATCATGGCTAATATACCTTGAGAATGCTTTTTCTATGCATTCATTTTTCTTCCATTCCATTGTGTGAAACAAAGTTACACCTCACTCCACTTCCCCAGCCTTTCTTTCTCCACCTGTGTGGTCCCGGAACAGATGATCATTTAACCTTGCGAAGTTTTATCATTAGACGAATCAAACACAATTCAGACAAGAAGATCAGAAACCCGCACTGTGTTGTTTTTTAACCGAAAATTATCTAAAAGAACAGCTGAGTAAATAGTGGCTTTAAGAATATATAACGAAGCCCCTGTAATTGAAGTAACTCTTCCTGGGAGGAGATTGGGGGGGGGGGAGAGAGACTCTTTCTTAGCCTGGACAGCCCGAGATAACTCTCCGATATATTCGTGCAGAGAGAGACGTAGATCTGACAATCCCTTGTGAATCGAAGACGCGGCTCTGTGGTTTCCCAACACCTCCTTTCGTGCAAAATCAAGAGAGCAAAACGCAAGACGTAGAATGGAGGAAAATTAAAAGCCATTAATTGGACTGCCATTTGTCAGAAATGGTGTAAGGGTCTCCCGCTTGGGCGGTGGGTTGGACTAGATGACCTACAAGGTCCCTTCCAACTCCGATTGTTACGGTATCCTTAAAAGCGGGGCTTAGGGGGTCCCAATCGGTCTTTCCTCCCCCGAAAAGATTAATACAAAAGAAAACAGCAAGTGAGCGAGAAACGGCTTCAGCTACACGCATTTCAACCCCTACCCCACCCCTAATACCTGTCTTTGACAGTCTACAGATTTGCACCGAGTCCGAGCCGAAAGAGCCTTTGAAAGGGGCAATCCGGTTTTCAAAAAAGGATTCGTCACAACTTAGGACCAAGGCGTCGTTTCCTTTTAAAACGCTCTTCGCTATAGAAAAAGACCAGGCATTCCGCAACCCGGAGCCTTAAGAGACAACCGCTGAAGCCCGCACAGAGGCAGCCGCAGCAACTGGCCGCTCCACAGCTCCGCCTCTCGAGAGAAACCCCGGCGCGTGACAGCACGAGCTCTCTTTTTTCTCTCTTTCCTCCCGCCAAAGACCTCCTCCTCCAAACCACGCCCCTCGCCTTGAACCGCGTCATTTCGCGGCGGGCCCCCCTTCTCGCGTCACGTGATCGCCGCACGTTTGCCCCTCCCCTCGCTGCTTTCCTCGCCCCCCCCCTTCGAACCCTGGCTCGGGCAGGATCCCCCTCCCCCACTCAGTGAGGCGCCGGCAACCAAGGACGGACCCATCCGATGTACCCGGAGGAGGAAGAGGTTTGGGAAGAAAAGCAAGGAAAGGCATCCATTTTACGGGACTCGCCGCCCTCCCCCACAAAAAGGCTCGTAAGGAATGAAGCGGGAGCGACCGCGGCGTTAACTCTATGGTCACCCGCCCCAACCCGTGGGGTTTTTGTGTGTGTGTGTGTGTGTGTGTGTGTGTGTTTTGTTTTTTGTTTTTTTCCGGAAGGCTGTCATGGCGGCGGAGATGCGAAGAGACCGTTACGTGACCAGAAAAGAGGCCTGGGGAGCGACAGGTGCTGTCACGTGATAGGGTGAGTGTCATGGCGGCGCCGGCCCCTCACGTGATGTGCCCTTCCTGTCGTGCGTGAGCGGGGCGGCTTCCGGTCACGTGCTCCTTCGCCGTGCTCCTGGCCGCCCCATGGCCCCAGTGGTGGTGGTGGTGGTGGTGGAGGAGGCGGTGGCGGCCGCTGAGTTTTCCAACAAGCCGTGAAGGGAACGGCGTGAAGGCTTAGACTCCTTTTTTTTTCCTTCTTTTTTTTTTTTTGAAGCTGGGGGCGGTCGGTGGGGCGAGCCGAAAAAGAAGAGCCGGGCGGGTGGCGGGCGAGACCGCAAACCGGTTATTGTCGCCCTAACGGTAGGTTGATAGGACTTCTTTGAACGGTTCCTGTTTTGGGGCCCACCTCGCTTTCTCCCAGCATTGAAGGTTAAGGAGGGTGGGGGGAGGGCGAGGGAGTGAAGTAAGTTGGCCTTTCATGTTAGAGTTACTCTTCCTTCCTGGTTCTTCTTTTGCGTGATCGGGCACTGTGAACGTTACAGGCAGATGGCGATGCGGTTAATGTAGGAGGGAGCGTGTTTGTCAAATTCACCCTGCTCTTACGAAAAAATATTTTCAGTTTCATTACCTCGCCGAATGTTTCTAAGTGGAGTACATTTATTTTCCTCCCCTTTAATGGGAAATGAGGTCTTCATGATATACAAGTTTCTATTCCCTTTTTTTTTTTGTCCTGGATTCCCTTTCTTTATCTGATCCTTGAGGAAGAGGTATAATCAAGTCTTTGTTGTCCGGAATTGCTTCGGTAAGAGCAAGGAAAGGATTTGCTTAGTAATTTTGCTGGCGTGATTGTAAGAAATAGGAGTGGGGTTTGGGTCCCCCCCCCTTAAAAGAAAATGGATCTAGAATTAGATAATGGGGTTTGCACCATGGAGAAAAATGTAAACAAACATAATCATGCTAAGACTGTTTATAACAATGCATTTTATAACTATTGCTTCATAAACTGTGGTTAACTAATACACTTTATGAACTTAGAGCACTGACTCTCCTTGCTAGTAATACATTCTTTTAAAATGACAATTCTATCTATACTTGGTTTAAAAATATGTTTGGCTGCTGTGTTACAGGATTGTTTAATTCAGAGCAGTTAAGGATCTCCAAATTTTGTTTAGTGTGTGAGGAGACTTTAGCTGTAAAGTTTGAGTAAAGGATTACTGGAGAAGAAAAATGCTACAAAGTAAATAGGATGTGTGCTTTTACTGGACTGGGAAGGAATTTTCTTGGATGATATGATATTATGGAGAGGATAGAACATCAATTTTTTTCTCAAGAATTTGTAAATCATTTACTTATAGCAGAAAATATCTGCAGTAATTTTTGCTCCCTGATAAATTGCTATGAAATAAAATATATTGCATTAATTATCTTTGCAAATTTTGTGGCTGTGTAGTTAATATAGATCCATAAATGAATATATTATTACGATTAGAAGTTATATACTATTCATTTACTTAAATCTATCTTTAAATCCCACTTCCATTTAAATGCCTCTTCCCATTTAAAATCTCAAAGCAAATTATAGTAAAATTCAAACAGTGAAACATTTGATAGAAATTATACAAGATACAATAAAACAATATAGAAAGTAAAAGCAGTTATAAAGATGTTTGAAACATTACTCCTGCATTAGCCCCTTCTTTGGATAAATGTTTCTTCATCTGGTATCAGAAAGAAAATACAACTCTGCATATTTTAGTGGCATACAAAATTCTACTTCCACTATTCTGACTCAGAGACAGCATATGCTGTTGTACATGAGTACTGGAAGAATGCCTTGTATGAATATTCCCACTTAAAAATAGTCTTGTATAAATACATTTAAAACAACATGGATATATGTGATTGTTTCAGAAGGTAAGCATAAATTGTTTGGACTGTGTGCATGAAGAGTTTCTCACATGACCATGACAGCAAGAGCATATATTTTTCTGGTATTGGGGTCTCCTTTGAGAAAATCTGCACAAAATGTATTATATATCTTTATCTCCCTTTAGAGTAGCCGTTTTCTATCTTTTTACTTGGCACAAATCCTTAAATTTTTAGATACCAAATAAAAGTAGCAAAAAAAGTGAAACATTACATTAAAATTCATTTCTGGCCTACACAGGATTTACAGTGTTCACATCAATAGCACAGTGGCAGGTTGGCACTTGAGAATGGCATATAAAAAATTCTCACCATTCTATATGGTGTAGGCTTCTGTGCCCCAATATTTAATGGCTGTGAAATAGAATAAATGGGGCATGAAGTACCCAAAGCTATGATTTTTGTTGCTTTGATCACAGTTTCTTATAGAATCCCCAATAACTTTTTGTGGAACCTAAAGTTGAACTTCAAAAAAGATTGAAGAAGATTGTTCTACAACTTCAAAATGTTCAGAATTACTTAGCAGAATTTGAGGGAACTCATAGTAAAAAATTATGTCCCTGTTCCACACTAAATGTAGTTTCCTGCAAGTAAGTGGAATTAATTTGATACCTTCCCTAAAACCAACTGTTCTTCATATAGTTTGCAGGCTATAATGGACATGGGTAGATTTCATTGTGTATACAATAGTGATTAGAATTTAACATGAAAGTACCAGTTTCAGAAACAGCTTTATAAATTCTCTTCAACTCAGTTTGGACAGACAGATTTTAATCTGTAATTAGCAATCTAGTTCGTTGCATATAATGGTCAGGTTCAAATGAGAAAGTTGCTGGTCTGTTTTTCAAATGGGGAATGATAAAGCTAATGAAATTAAGCTGAATATATCCATTGAAGTTCATATAAAGCAGGGGTGTCAAACTTGCGGCGTCATGTGACATATTGGGACTTTTTCCCCTTTGCTAAACTGGGCGGGCCCAGCATGTGATCCATCTGGGGTGCAAGTTTGACACCCCTGATACACAGTGTGATACCCAATTTTGTGCACTCTCCCTCCCACAACAGCCAGGTGGTAAGGTTTAGTGTGTGTGTTTGTGCTTTTTTTGCTTTTTGTTTTGAGAATCCTGGAAAGATAAAGGGGAAGAAACATTAGCTCTATGTTTTCTTTTCCTTTTACAACTGTTAAATACGGCCAAATATACGTACAAGCCAATTGTAACATTCAATAGATTTGGCTTTCCTAATTTTTGTTCAGCTTCCAGTGTGTTCCACATAGTTGATGGCCTTGTGTGGAATATTTTGAGTAGGACTTATAGTGGGAAAGGAGAATTGCATTTCTTACATAAATATGTATTCATATAATCTCACTTCTAGGTTTTTCATTTGTCAGGTAAAGGTTTTGGAACAATCTACTTGGTAGCAAAAAATTATGTTTTGAAATATTTAGAAATGTCTGGGCCTATATTATGTTTAAGACTATGTTTATTTATGAATCAATTACATGTTAGACTTTGTCTTAATTATAGGTCATAATATCTTTTGAATGTGTGTATTTTGATGTATTTAAAAAGTTAGGTACTAAAAGCACATTCCTTTGGTTTAAATCTAATGATAATCTTCCATTTTCTTAGTGACCCATGTATTGTTGGATGTAGTCCGATACCCAGATGCATACATATTTCATGCTGTTCTTGCGACTACTATCTCCATGTGCCCCCATTGTGTTCTGCTCTGAAATACACTTTTGAGAACAGATTTTGAGAATCAACCGCATGTGGAAAGAGACTATTATCTCTTCTATGAATGGAAGCATTTACTATCATAAAAAAATTGTGGTTTCTTTAAAACATACATATATGATGATGTGGGGGAAAGTAGGGGAATCTATGCCTTTAGATCTTTATTCTAAATGTAATATTTTCAGCATTTATGCATATGTGGTACTTGACATCTGCAGTTTCATCATAACAGATACAGTATCTGTTCTCTTAAATCCTCTAACAATACAATATGTCAGAGTAATATCTAAAATTAAGAGAAGATTGGAACTCCTGTAATAATTGTATATATCCAATAGAAAAGCTCAATAAATTATGCTGTGGTACTTTAAACACGAGATCCTGTACAATCCAAATATTTACAAAGTCATGCAAATCAAATTAAATATAAAATATCACTGTTAGTGGTTTCTGACATTGGTAGCTAGAGTTACACCTAATACAGAGTCATGGCTTCTTAAGCCAAAAGCAAACAAACCTCCTTATAACTTAGTGTGATTTGTAATGTTTCCAATTATGGAAATGAGGGAATATTTACTGTACTCTTAATTTTTTAATGATATGCACTAATAGCAACCAGTAGTATAAATTCACAGTATATATTTGAATACTTAGCTATGAAAATCAAATAACAAAGATTATTTTAATTCAATATCTTACAGTCATCATGACAACATCATCTGAAGAAGTGTTATTAATAGTGAAGAAAGTGCGTCAAAAGAAACAGGACGGTGCTCTTTATCTCATGGCTGAAAGAATAGCTTGGG